GATTTTTTTTCCTTCTGAGTTGTGAATATTTTCTTGTGTCAGATTCCTAAAAACTCCTAAGAGTCTCTAAGTTCTTACATAACTGTTGGGTAATAAAATTGATTTCTACCCACCACCTAGTTATTTCTGTCTTCTGACTTCAGCTAATTGTCAATATGTCCTTAAACAGATTCACCAAGTTGCTTAAGCCCAGCACTTCATAAGGACTTAAAAGGCTGGCTGTACTCTGGTTTTCTGTGAATACTTAACTGCGGCTATGGTCCTACTTGATACCACAGCTCATAGAAGTAGATTGGTACTGAGGCCCCTATTTCCTTTTGACATAGCAATTGTCATTTTGGGGTGATTATAAAAAGCAGAACCTCTTAGTGACTTTGCAGCTAAGTGTGATCTTAAAGTAGCTTTTTGATAGTCTATATACTTCTTGAATTGTATCTTCTGTCAGTGACCATCCTTTACCAGTCTTGTATAATAATAATAATAGGTGTTTATAAAGAGATGCAAAGAAGACATACAGATGGCCAGCAGACACATGAAGAAATGCTCAACATCACTGGGCATCAGGGAAATACAAATCAAAACCTCAATGAGATACCACCTCACACCAGTCAGAATGGCTAAAATTAACAACTCTGGAAACAACAGATGTTGGTGAGGATATGGAGAAAGGGGAACCCTCTTACACTGTTGGTGGGAATGCAAACTGGTGCAGCCACTCTGGAAAACAGTATGGAAGTTCCTCAAAAAGTTAAAAATAGAGCTACCCTACCATCCAGCAATTACACTACTAGATATTTATCCAAAAGATACAAACATAGTGATTCGAAGGGGCACATGCACCCAATGCTTATAGCAACAATGTCCACAATAGCCAAACTATGGAAAGAGCCCAGATGTCCATCAACAGATGAATGGATAAAGAAGATGTGAGATATATATATAATGGAATATTACTCAGCCATCAATAAGAATGAAATCTTGCCATTTACAATGACATGGATGGAAGTAGAGGGTATTATGCTAAGTGAAATAAATCAGTCAGAGAAAGATAATTATCAGATTATTTCACTCATATGTAGAATTTAAGAAACAAAACAGATGAACATAGGGGAAGAGAAGGAAAAATAAAATAAGATGAAAACAGAGAGGAAGGCAAACCATAAGAGTCACTGAACTCTAGGAAACAAACTGAGGGTTGTTAAGGGGAGGTGGGAGGGGGAAGGGATAATTGGGTGATGGGCTTTAAGGAGGGCACTTGATGTAATGAGCATTGGTGTTATATGCAACTGATGAATCACTAAATTCTACCTCTGAAACTAATTTAAAAAAAAGAAAAAAATAGATACAAAAATTGTTATTTTTAAGAAAAGATAATTGTTGAGCTATAAAATATGTAAGTTGTAGGTTTTATTTATATCTCTCATATGGGGTTTATATGCCATAACCTCCAGTAACATTCATTTTAAAATGTCATATAAACCATTTTTTAAATTATAAAACCGGTAAGTTTTTTAAATCACAGATTGTAGAAGGTCATAGAGTAAAATGTAAAAATTCTCCTTCCCTGTTTCCTAGCCTTCAGTACAACTCTCCAAAAGCAATCACTGTTAACAGTGTCTTAAGTTTCTTTGCATGAATTTTCGAAGCATACACAATTTTACGTATATATATACACATACTCATTTTTACGTAGTCATACTATGTAAACTGTTCTTCATCTTGGTTTTTTTTTTAAGATTTATTTATTTATTTTGGAGAGAAAGAGGGGGGAAGAGAGAGAACAAACTGGGGGGAGGGGCAGAGGGAGAGGGAGAAGACTCCCCACGGAGCAGGGAGCCTGATGTGGGGCTCCATCCCAGGACCCCAGGATCATGACCTGAGCTGAAGGCAGACGCTTAACCAACTGAGCCACCCATGTGCCCCATCTTGGTGTTTTTGTTTTTTTTTTTAATTCACTTAAAATACCAAGACTGTGTCATACTAGCATGACTCAGCTTCATTCTCTTTTAAAACTGCATGGTATTTCATTATATGTAGGTGTGTACCATTATTTATTGATGAGCATATAAGTAATTTCCAATTTATATCTGGTAGTTGTGGAAGTGCAAATAATTACAGATAATGAACATTCTTAGAAATGAAATTACTGAACCAAGGGGTTTCAAATTTTTAAAATTTTGAAGAGATATTTCCAAGTTATCTTGCACATAGTTACACTTCTTTCAATATTATCTGAGACTGTTTCCACATTCTTATCTATCAGTCTTCTTTTGAGATCTGAAATTTCTGCCATTCTAGTAGTTGAAAATTGTTACTTCTTTTTATTATGCCTTTATTGGATTAGCATGCATTGGGCATTTTTTTTCATAAGACAAATAGTCGTTTTTATATATGTGTGAATTTCCTGTATCTTGTCCTTTGATTATTTTCCCTTGCCATATCCATTTTATGAGAGAAAAAGAAACCCTTTACTAGGATAGACTACCATTTATTTATGTATTTTTCTAATTTTTTTAGTTCAGCTTTATAATTTTTATTTAATTATTTTTATTTTAATTCCAGTGTAGTTAACATACAGTGTTATATTAGTTTCAGATGTACAATATAGTGATTCAGCAATTCTATACATTACTCGGTGCTCATCATGATAAGTGTACTCTTAATCCCCTTCATCTATTTCATCCATCCTCCCACCCACCTCCCCTCTGGTAACCATCAGTTTGTTCTCTATAGTTAAGAGTCTGTTTTTGGTTTGTCTCTTTTTGTTGTTGTTCATTTATTTTGTTTCTTAAATTCCACCTATGAGTGAAATCACATGGTATTTGTCTTTCTGTGACTGACTTATTTCCCTCACCTTTATACTCTCTAGATCCATCCGTGTTGTTGCAAATGGCAAGATTTCACTTTATGACTGAGCAATATCCCACTGTAGACCCATACCACATCTTCTTTATCCATTCATCTATCGATGGACACTTGGACTGCTTCCATAATTTTGCGATTGTAAATAATACTGCAACAAACATAGGTTTGCATATATCTTTTTGAATTAGTGTTTTTGTATTCTTTGGGTAAAAACCTAGTAGTGGAATTACTAGAATTCTACTTTTAATTTTTTGAGGAACCTCTATACTGTTTCTCACACTGGCTGCACCAGTTTGCATTCCTGCAAACAGTGCACAAGGGTTCTTTTTTCTTCACATCCTCACCAACACTTGTTGTTTCTTGTCTTTTTGATTTTAGCCATTCTGACAGGTGTGAGGTGATATCTCATTGTAGTTTTGATTTGTAGTTCCCTGACGATGAGTGATGTTGAGCATCTTTTCATGTGTCTGTTGGTCATCTGTATGTCTTCTTTGGAGAAATGTCTGTTCATGTCTTCTGCCCATTTTTAATTGGATTATTTGGGATTTTTTTTGGTGTTGAGTTGTATAAGTTCTTTATGTATTTTGGATACTAACCCTTTATCAGATATGTCATTTACAAATATCTTCTCCCATTCCGTAGGTTGTCTTTTAGTTCTGTTGATTGTTTGCTATGCAGAAGCTTTTTATTTTGATGTAGTCCCAACAATTTATCTTTTATTTTATTTCCCTTGCCTCAGGAGACATATTTAGAAAAATGTTGCTATGGCCAATGTCAGAGAAATTACTGGGATAGGTTACCTTTTAACAGATAACCTACCAACAGTTCTCAGGAAACCATAAATGTATGTATTCCACACATGATCACCTGTACAAACACTAACTCACTTAGAGGCCTAAAAGAAAGCCCAAAAGAAAAAGTGTCTGAGAAGAGAAAGAAAATAGTCTATCTGGAGATAGATGTGGGGACTGGCCTCACGCTTTCTATTACTTTTCTATTGCTATAAAAAATATGACCATTAATTTAACAGCTCCCAGTTCCTGTGATGGAAGTCCAGGCACAGCATGACTGGCTTTTTACTCAGGTCCCACAGAGCTAAAATAAAGTTGGTCAGCTGTACTCAGTATTCTCTTCTAAGTTGATCTGGTTGTGGCAGAATTCAGTTCCTTGTAACTGTAGGACTAAAGTCTTGGTTTCCTTGCTGCTTATTAACTGGGGGCCACTCTCAGCATCTAGAGGCAGCCTATGTTCCTTATCACAGAGCCTCTCCCATCTCCAGAGTCAGCCAAGGACAGCTTCCCTTGTGTTAAAACTTTCTCATGCTTCCAATCTTTCTGACTTCCAGACCCAGATCTGAGGAGTTCATGAGACTAGAAAGCCCAACCAGGTAATCTACCTATCTTAGGGTCAACTGATTTGGAACAAAACAGAATGGCAAAGACCCTCAACAGTAGCACCTAAATTAGTGTTCAGTTAATTAACTGGGAGGAGGTGTATGTATGCAAGGGGTCAGGAATCTGGGGGGTCATCATAGCATTTTGCCCACCACAACCCCCACCTGCCTTCCTCAAGGGAAGCAGATAGAAGTCATGTCTGTTGGCTGAGGACACCAATCCTACTGAAACATTAGATGCCAGAGAAAGGGAGCAGGACAGGAATCCATCTAACCTCATGCACAACAAAGTCCCACCCATGCGGGTCAAACATCTTGATATGAGCAATGAAACAGCAGAAAGCTGCAGAGATAATCTCAGAAACCACACATACAATGTAAGGGTCGGGCAGGCCTTCCTGACCAAGGATCCAAACCTGGCATTTTCTGACTCCACAGTCTCTGCCTTCTTGACCCCTACACTGTGACCCACCAGAGGACAGGTCATTCATTGGCTGTACAAATAGATTTTGAGTCCTCTGACCTCACTGTTTCTTCTTATGCCAGTGTGATCAGAGTGTGCTTTTGTGAGTTGTTGGCCTTGGGTGTTCAGTAGAACAGAATGAACTGACCGCAACCTAAGTAGGCAAGCCACTAAGGGGAACCGTAGTGATGAGCATTATTCTAAAAGAATTCTAAAAACCCTCTCTCCCCTCCCTCCATCTCTTTCTCTTTCATATTCCCACCTGCTGCTGTGCTTCAGGCGCATCATACATGACCTGCTTGAGACGGAAGAGATTTATATAAAAGAGATTAAGAGCATAATTGATGTAAGTAGACTGGGATAGTGGACATTAAGCATGTATTCAAATTAGAGAAGTTCTGTTGCACAAAGAGACTTAAAATAGTTGCCGTATGTCTCTAGAATTTCCACCAAGAGTTCAGGTCTTATAATATCACAACTATCTTTCCAATAGGAATAAGAACATTCTTATGACTAGTGATCCGTGTAACTAAATAACTTCCAAAGGATTGTATCATTCATACTGATTTTAGCAGGGCCCAGTAGGTTCACCCTATGGTTGCCAACACTGGACACAATAATTTGAATATTTTTGATAATTTAATAAGGGAGAATTGTTTCAAGTAGGATTTTTTGCTTGAGAGTGAAAATTTGAATTTTTCCAATTTTCCTAAGAAAATAATCTGAGAAATAAATGATCTGTACAAAGTTATAATAGAATTTTTATAATAAAATATCAGAAGAAAATAAAATCTCCAATAAAAAAGGGGATGTTAATAAAGTCTGATATTCATGCTGAATGAAATATTATTCAACCGTTACAAAATATTTTGAATAATATGTAGCAATGTTGAAAAATGCTTATAAGATTAAACTAAAAACAGTATTAAATAAGCTTTTAAAAAGTCATGAAGGAAATATAATAAAACAGTAGTAATTGCATTTGGTTGTAAAATGAGAGATAAGTTTTTTGCTTTCACACTTGACTTGTATAACATAAACATTTAAAAAATATATTTGTTCTTTCTATAAAGTGCCATTTTATTATCATTGCCATTTAAATTTAACCACCTTCTTCTGAAGATGGACACATGAAGGGAATAATATATATCAAAAGAAAGCATTTGATGAAATGGTTTTCAGGAAATAAGTGTGCCATATTTCCCAGTTATTAAAGTTTTCGTCCCTAGAGTAGCTAATTCAGATCATCTCTTAAATGTTCTTATCTGTAAAATCTACCTTGTTTTCACCTTTGCAGGGATATATCACTCCAATGGATTTTATTTGGCTGAAGCATCTGATTCCAGACGTTCTTCAGAATAACAAGGAGTTTCTCTTTGGGAATATTAGAGAACTTTATGAATTTCACAACAGGTATATCATAATTCAAACTATCAGGAAAAATGGAAAGTAAAAGAAAAACGGAAATCAGACTGATGGGATTTGGAGATGAGCTTGTGTAGAGATTGCCAGGCTTAAGCAAGTAGTCCAGAGTCGGTGGACTTGGTTGGGATGGGATGGGATGAGAAGGAGGGGAGAAGTGCCACAGATCTCTGAGGGAGAAGGGGAAAGGCATCAATGGAGCGTGTACCAGGTGCCAGGCATTAATGTTATATTTTCTGTGTGTTCCTTTGCTTATTTATCTATTCATGTATCTGCCTTTATTGAGGACCTGTTCTGTGTCAGGCACTGTGTTCAGCGTTGGGAATACAAAGATCACCAAGACACACGTCCACATACCTACTATCATCAATTAGTGCTGGGAGCTAGGGTGTTGGAAAATGCTAACCGGTCAGACAAGTTGTCCTTTTAGCCCGGGGCTGCTTGGGTGTTGAGTTCTAGAGAATTAGAGGAGGAAGGGACTTTGGAGATCATCTTCCAAGCCTTTCATTTCACAGATGAACCTGCAGCTCGTTTCCTCTCTTTACTCAGTATAACAACCCCAAATCACACATGTAATTGATGGGAAAGAAGAGACTCCTTGGTGAATTGACCCACAGTTGTTTTCCCAACCCTGTCTCTTGTCCATTGGTCAGACACACAACTGAAATGGAAATCCCATTTCTGCTACCTTCCCTGGAGAAGTTATTCAGCCTCTTCCATGCCTTGGGTTTCACGTTTATGAGACCCTACCTTACTAGGTTCGGTGGAGGATTAAATGAGATATTGTTTATGAAGTACTTAGCTTATGCCTGGCTTGCCTCAAGCCCTCAGTGATATTAGCAGTAGACACAGCAACAGCAGTTCATGTTCATGTGATTCTCATGTAGCAGGGAGCATCAGCGCATCTTGTTGGTCTACAGCTAGTGCCTAGAATTATCAGGACAAGCTGTGGTTGGCTTCAAGGAATCCTAGTAATGTCACAGAATGTTTTTTTCTTCCAAATCGGTATGTTGAAGATGAGTCAAGAGCAATAAAGCCTGGAAAACAGCATTTTTCTGAGCACCTCTTAAAATCTTATGTGATTTTACTTAAGAAAAAACCTTATGTATTTTAACCTCATCCATGTAAGAAATCGAAACGTGATTATACTTTTCCTTCCCTAGGACTTTTCTAAAAGAATTAGAAAAGTGCACCGAAAACCCTGAACTTCTGGCACGCTGCTTTCTCAAGAGAGTAAGTCTCGGCTCCCAGTAGCTCAGAATAACCATGGGATTAAAGTTAGCCCTTAATTTTCTGTGTGAGGGGCAAGGGCAAATGGGAACACCAAAGGTCTGAAAAATTACACATACCTTTTGAGTGCAAAGCAGGAGTCCTTTGTAATATGTCACCCAGCGTGAGATGAGGCTAGTTTGACTAGGCTCATATGACAGATGGGAGCAACTTACAAGCTTGGCCTCCTGCAAAGCCCAGTGACATGGAGGACCGGCCCCCCCCAAAACAGATGATCCTCCTCTGAGTGACTAAGCTAACTGGTTTTTTTTTGTTTCTTTTTTTTTTTTTTGAGCTGAAGGCAGCCGCCTAATGACTGAGCCACCCAGGCACCCAAGCTAACTGTTTTCGAACAAGAATCACACAGCAGGCTGAAATTCCTCACTAAAGTTGTATTAACACTCTCAAGAGAAGAAGTAGTGATGCTAAACTAAAAGTCTCAGAAAATGTCTTTTCTTCCATTTTCTTTACAGCATAGAGGATTGTTAGAATATGTTAAATCTGTGGTCCCTCTTTTTTTTTTTTTTTTTTCAGTTTGGAACTTATTTCTTTTTTAAGATTTTATTTATTTATTTGACACAGAGAGAGAGAGAGCGCAAGCAGGGGAAGCGGCAGGCAGAGGGAGAGGGAGAAGCAGGCTCCCTGCCGGGCAGGGAACCCAGACACGGTGCAGGTTCGATCCCAGCACCCTGGGATCATGACCTTAAGCCGAAGGCAGACACTTATCTGACTGAGCCACGAGGCACCCCTTTATTTTTTATTCTTAATGAAAAAATAACTTTGGAGCATATTCCAAAGCTTATTTTTTAAAATTTTATTTAAATTCGATTAATTAACATATAGTATATTATTAGTTTCAGAGGTAGAGTTCAGTGTCTATGGTCCCTCTTCTGCTTAGTACCCCATTTATGATTTCCTGCCCTACACCACCATCTCTGACTGCTTCACCTTCTCCGTGTGCAGACCTCTTCCTTCTTGCCCTCTCTGCACCCCTGCTTTGGGCAGTGAATAGGATGTTTGGGCCTATTGAGTCGGTACAGAGACATGTATTACCTAGCACCACTCCCCACCAAGCACTTTCTTCCCTTGGGAGGACTATGCAGAGGATCCTCGTGCCCTGGACTTTCTAAGTCTTTTGCATTTCTCCTCTCTCTCTCAACTAGCTCTTCTTTTCATTCTCTTCCTTCTTTTTCTTTTTGTGAGCCTGAGACAACAGATGAAACAACTTAAACATTTTAAACAACCCAAATTAAGGCTGATAAGTCTAAGAGCAGTACGTGTGATAAACTGAGAGCAAGCAAACACAAATCCCCAGGTTTTAAGGCATTTGACATAATGGAGAAACAGAGCCTTCAACCCTCAGAACTCTTGCCAGCTTAGAAAGCCTTTTCCACAGCCTGTATGGGCTTTTCCACCACAACCTCATCATAGGTTTTTTGTCAAGTGCCAAAATTCAAGGTACACTGAAAACTATGTTGTATTTGATCTAATTAATTTCCGTTTTGAATTACTTTATAGCATTATTCGTGTTTTGTACTACTTTTTTTTTAAAGATTTTATTTTTTTTATTTATTCATGAGAGACAGAGAGAGAGACAGAGGCAGAGGGAGAAGCAGGCTCCCCGCGGAGCAGGGAGCCCGATGTGGGACTCGATCCCAGGACCCTGGGATCATGACTTGAGCCGAAGGCAGACGCTTAACCGACTGAGCCACCCAGGCGTCCCTGTACTACTTTTTAATTTTGCACTCATCAAACCACCAACGTGAAGTCTACTTTCAGAGCTTAGAAATATTTTATAATTGCTTATGTCAGTATTGCAAAGACTAATTTAAATTGTTGGATGAGAAAAGGACCGAACTCCTGTGGGGAAAAAATGGATATGATAAAAAAAAAAAATTGTCCCAGTGTAAGGCAATGGTTAGGGAATTGCTGACAAAACATCTTGTCCTAGAAGAATTCCTCACCTAAAGTTTTGCAAAGCCTCCTATAGTCCCCCATGTTGGGAGAAACCCGAGAAATCATTGCTCCAGACCTGCATATAAACACTGCATATAATCCTATGTGATTTATGATGTTGGAGACAGTGTACAGGTAATAAATTGTTCTCTGTCGTAAAATTATTAGTCTGGGGCAGATGGAGTAATTAAAAACCATGATTAGGTAATCTTTGAGGCTCCTTGAGGGAACTGGCTGTTGCTGTGTATTTGTTGGCCAATGAGGTGGGCCCCTCACCCATTATCTACTACGACCGTTGACCTTTTCTCAATAATATTTGCAGAATTCCATTACTCATGGAAATGAGTTTTGAAATATTGCTCTGGCCAAATGTTTTTATCAGACTCTATAGTCTGCAGAATCCAGGAAGATTCTGCCCCAGAGACCAGGCTCTACGTAGAATAATATTTGTCAGTAGTCTACTTTGAGTTCCATTAGCTCTGAGATGTGACAAGGCAAAATGGGAAGAGCCCTGGGACTCAGGAAATGTAACTTCTTGCCAAGTTGAGCCACTTGCTATCTGCGTGACTTCATGTTAAGTTGCTTAAACCCCCGGAGTCTCACTTCCCTCCTCCATACAATATGTAAAGTCGTTGTGGAAGTCTAGTAAAATAGTGTATGCAGAAGGGTTTTACAAAGTAAAAAATGCCTTGTCGATAGCTACCATATATTGGGTGCTCCGTATGTATTGGGCATTTGTTGAGAAGTTTCTATACATCGTCTCATTTAATCTCACAGTAGTCCTAGTTGACTGTTGTGAACCCACTTAATAGATGAGAAAACTGAAGTATAGGGAGGTTAAGTAACTGAACTTGGGCCATTTGGTTTGGAACTGACAAAGCCAAGAACTGAACCTGGACCATCCACCACCAGAGCCCACCATCCTAATGCATAAACGATCATATCTGAATAGGAGCTTTTGGTAGCATTTATTTTTTTAGCCTCCTGATTTATTCTATAAGCAGGTGAAGATGGTTGGGCACTTTCATATGTTGCTGGTCAGTGTGTATCCTTTCTTTAAGGAATTTTGGATTGAAGAGCAAATGTAGGTCAACGGTCGTGTTTTGGTGCTTGAAGGCCTATGGTGTTCTGCATTGCTCAAAGTGTAGACGTAGTACCAAGGAATGAGGGTTTGAGGAGCACACGTTTCAGCTCAGCATCCCTCGAGAGAACCATGCGCCTCTGGTGCTGGGAAAGTTTGGGGAAAGGTGGCTGACTGTTGAGGATGTTTCACTGGGTGGGAGGATCTCCTCCAACTTTTATATAATCTTCTGGTGGTTAGTGTTGAAAGCCCTGAAACCTTGAATTCTTTTAGGAGCTAAAGGCCAATGTTTTTGTGCTCTGACAGACCCAATGTGGGTGAGATGCCGCATCAATTTGTAGTATTTTATAAGCCTGGCCTGCGGTACGGCAGGAGTGTTGCCTGCGTGTGGGCAGCTCTGCTGTGGAAGCTGTTGCGTTTAACAAGTGTACTTAGCACGGTGCCTGGCACATCAAAGTCACACAGGAGATAGTTCTTGAATGAATAAATAATGAACATATTGTGAAGCTCTGAGTTATTCTAGTTCCGTAACCTGTCTGAAGAACATTTCTCAAGAGCCATCTCCCTTCCTTCCACAAGCAGAAATGGAAAGAAATAGACATAGTTGAAGCTGTGAGGAAAACAGTGACCTATGTCCACATGAAGGCCATCAAGAGTTGGCCTGAGAGGGGCGCCTGGGTGGCTCAATCGTTAAGCGTCTGCCTTCGGCTCAGGTCATGGTCCCAGGGCCCCAGGATCGAGCCCCGCATCGGGCTCCCTGCTCCGCGGGAAGCCTGCTTCTCCCTCTCCCACTCCCCCGCTTGTGTTCCCTCTCTTGCTATCTCTCTCTCTCTGTCAAAAAATAAATAAAAACTTAAAAAAAAAAAAAAGAGTTGGCCTGAGAAAGATAGGGACACGGAAATCCACCAGGATGCAGCCCCGTGGGCTTCCCCACCCCTCCCACCCCCAGACAGCACAGGCTCTGTGACCAGCATAGCTGGAGTGGTCCAGGTGCGTGTGACGGAGTGGATGAAGCTGGCAAGCTGACTCCATAGGCTGGGACCAACCTCTCCGGGGTACTGGTGGGTATGTGCCCACCTCTCATGGTCTTTGATGCAATGAGAAATAGGTCACACAGCACTTGGAATCCGTCTTGATCTCTAGCTCTGAGATAGTCATATAATGTTTCCTGTCTTGGAGTCTGGTGCTGTAGGTGGAAAGGGATGTCTGAGGCAGAGCCTGCTGCTTTGGGGGTTGCCCAAAGGACTTAGAGCTGGGTTGTTTTCTCCAAGCTGCCACATTTTCCTTTTGGGGTGTTTCTATCTTTTGGTTGTCTCTTGGTTTATTTTCTGCAGTTGGCACCACGATGATCAAAATAGGAAGATAGGGAGAGAGAGAGGAGGGGCCATCAGCTACCAGCACCTTTTCTGTCAGTTTTGTCCCTCACTGCAGAGCTACTCTGGGGAGACAGTGATGTCCTGGATAAAGAGCAGAGGAGGAATGATGAAGATTAAAACCTGCTCCTGTTCATGAATTTACCGATTTATCAGAATCCTGTAGTTGTTTCCACAGCACTCTGTTCGTATCTGTGTTTAGTACTTACGGTTGTTTAGAACCCTCTATTTACCTTCCCATCACACAGTCACCCCAACATGAGGTTATCGTGCATCCCCAGTTCTTGACACCATGAAAAGACTCAGGCTTATTGAATATTTGAATGAATAAACAGTATCATCCTGTCCACTTATGGAAAAATGCTACCTGATTAATTTGTTCCAATTCTTTTCCCACTCAGAAAGAAGATCTTCAAATATATTTTAAATACCATAAGAATCTGCCCCGAGCTAGGGCAATCTGGCAAGAATGTCAAGACTGCACCTTCTTTGGGGTAACGTTGAGATCACAAAGTCTCGCACAAATGGTTTTCCCTGGACAATGTTTATGTGTGCCAAGTCTTTAAAGAAATCAGAAGTATGAACGAGGCAGGGGAATCTGGCATTTGAATTTATGTTTATTAAAAGTCTCTCCTATTTTGAGATGACACGTTGGAAGTTTTGATGCGGCCCTGGGTCTCTATGGGACAGGCCTGTGAGGAGCAGCTCTAGCCTGGTGAGGAAACCAGAGTCCTCGTCTAGGATGGGGAATTTTTAAAAGGAATTAAATCCAAAAGGCCACATTCTGGGGCTCCTTGGAATGATATTAGTGAGTCATCATGCAACTTCTAGACTCAAAATGACCTGAATAGACACAACTCAAAGACAAGCTGCCTTTTTCAGGATTTGAGGTACCCCACTGTCTTCCAGTGGACTTGCTTTCTAAAAGAAGTAAATGGTCCTGCTCCCCTAGCTGCATCTAGAATTACTAGCCCAGCCATCCTCTTTCCCCTTTCTCTCATTTGACACATTATTCCTAAGGCACCCAACGACTCAGTAACATTATTAAGTTGGTCAACACAGCTGCACCTCTTCCCCGTGCCACCCCCCCCACCCCCCCCACCCCCGCCAAAAGCCTGTTTCATTTCTTGTATTCAAGTGCTGCCTCTTTGTTCTCTCCGTGTGTTGTTGCTTTTGTTTTACATTTGTTTCTATCTGGCTTTTAAAGGTATGCCAGCGCCAACTGGATCACAATCTCCCTCTTTTTAAGTATCTCCGAGGACCAAGCCAGAGACTTATAAAATACCAGATGCTGTTGAAGGTAAAGTCGATGAGACAGTGCTTTCCTGTGCTGGGAAAACACACGTGTGCTATGATGCTCTTTTCCTTAGGCATGCAGAGCTGTGACTTCATCTCTTCAAAGGAGAAGAAGATATGTCTCTCCTTTAGGCTTTTTCTGTCCTCCAAGTCCAAAGCAGCGTACCTCAGTGAGGAGAAGGACCAAAGAATCAGAGAGTTGAAAGGGACCTGGAAGCCTGGCTGGTCCAACATGTGGCCTAGGGCATGAATCTCTCAGGAGGCTGGTTTGGGGCAGGAGAGGTCCTGGGGAGCAACGGGAGAAAGGGGAACGCCACTACATTGCTGGCAACTGAGAGGGCGGGGAGGCAGCCAGAGCCTGTCCTCTCGTATAAGGTATCTACAGGTAAGATATCATCTGCTCCATTTTACAGATGAGGCAAGGAGCTTCAGAAAAGAGGTGTGATGTTCCCCGAAGTCATGATTTTCTGTGCATTAAAACAATGGAAGGGAGAAGGCAAAACTGGAGTCTTTTCTCCTTTTACAACATCTACCTCCATCCCTCGATTAAGGATCTTTCTCAAGAGCAGCATCATAGAGGGAATTTTGCTCTGCCGAACCCCTCGGTGGTCTGTGCTCTGTCTGCCGACCGCACACCTGCAGGAGAGCACTCCCAGACACCCCAAACAGGAGACAAGGCTCTGTCAGGCTGCCTCCCCGCCTGTGAGCTGAGGGAAAGGTTTGGGCCCCTTCTCCAACTTGTGTTTTGAGTTAACCTTTATAAGCAGCTCTTGCCCAGTGGCTACTATCTCTCAAAACAACAACAACAAAAATGAAAAACAAAAAACACAAGCACCTGCTGTTTACTGGGGACCTTCCCATATGTATTTCTTATTTAATCCCCACAATCAGACGCACCAGAAAGACTCTGGAGTGTGAAGAAACTGAGGCTCGGGGAGCTTAAGCTCACTGCCTAACATTCTGCCCTCAGAAAAAGCTGCCCCTTTCCGCTTTGCCTCAGCAGTCCCAGCCTCCGCCGGACCGGCCGTGCCATGAGCACGTGCGGCATTCCTGGACGTTTTAGGCCTTGGTGTTCTCACGTGTCGGCTGGGGATACTAGAACCTCCTCCAGAGGATTGCTGTGAGGAGCCAGGGGGTAATGCCTGTAGAGAACTCGCTCAGGGCTGACCCCCAGGAAGCTTCCGTTGTTTTATCCATAGAGATGCCACAGCAGTGTGGGAACGGGGATGAGCCCCCACTGCTTCCCTCCACCAGGGGCATCTGTGAGTGTTTCCATACAGTGCTCACGTAGACCCTCACACTCCTCTGACCAACCCACCTTTACTGTCATCCGAGCTGGACGAGTCCTACCCAGTGAGCAAGGAGCAGGACGAGTGGGGGTCTTCACCACCTCGGTCTGGGTCCGTCGGGTACTGAAATGCCCGAGTTTTCCCACAGAAGCGATGTTGCCGCAAGAGCGAAGTTCTGTAGCATACACAGAGGGCTACAGGGCGCAGTGATTAGAAACCCAGCCCGAGGAGTTAGCCATCCGGGGTGTGGATCCAGCTCAGCCGCTTCCAGACTGCATGAACTCAGGCAAATTACTTAACCTCTCTCTGCCCCAGGTGCCTCAGCTGTGAAGTGAAGGTAGTACTAGTCCTTTCCTGGTATGCTTTTTGGGAGCATAAACGAGGTAACACATGTTAAAAGTAATTAGGGAATTTTGTTAGTTTCATGGCACTCAGGAAACGAGACAGAATCACTATAAAATATTCCTCGGGGATCTGTGTGAAACAATGAGAGGCTATTCAGGGCACACCAGTTTTTCCCATAGCTAAGCTTGCTGCATGCTGGAAAAACAAGTCCAAACCACTGGCACGCCTGTGAAGAAAGGAAGAACTTTGTAGTGTTCTCCACCCTGAGGGACAGAGCTCATTCTGCAGGGCCTACCATCAGCTTCTTTGGGAGCATGGGTGTCTGACTGATGGCCTCATGGCTTAGAAAGGATCGTGGAATCCTGGTGTGAGAAGACTTTTTCCGAGTACAAAAGAAAGGGAAGGGAATGATAGATTATGCCATTAAAAACAGACACATGAAAAATTGGGTGAAATATAATATTAGCAAGATACGGGACAGATCTTAATAATGAGCTCATAGAAGTTAATAATTTTGAAAAACAAAACAAAAAGAAATGATACCTATGAAATGCTTCGTATCTTTTCTGAGATATTATGAAAATTAACAGTTGTGACAGAGTTTTTTGAATACATAATGTACGTAATGTCTAATGAGTCATGGCAAGCTGATTAAACAATGTATTATTTATTAGCATATATTAGAAATAGATGCATTTAGGGACAACATGAATTCACTTTTATTGAGGTCATGATTTATGTCAAAGAGGCTAAGTGATGTATGGAAACTATCAAATTTATTTATTTTTTTAAGATTTTATTTATTTATTAGAGAGAGAGAGAGAGAGCCAAGCAGGGGGAGGGGCAGAGGGAGAAGCAGACTCCCCGCTGAGCAGGGAGCCTGATGCGGGGCTCGATCCCAGGACCCTGGGGTCATGACCTGAGCTGAAGGCAGACACTTAACATGACCTGAGCCGAAGGCACCCCAAAACTATCAAATTTAATGTAGAGAATTTTTCTTACCTGGATTTTAAGATGTGATTTGGAAAATGGTGCATTATTTGTTTATAATAAATTTTGCTTATTATAGGAAGGATGTTCTAGAATAGGTGGTTATGCTGATTTCCTGTGTAATGCGACTCATGTCATAGGAGTGATATTCATTTTTCTTCTTTTAAAAAAATGAAAGACTACTATTAGAAAAAAGAATTAATAGGGAGAGGTTGGTAAAAGGATATAAACTTTCAGTTTACAAGATGAATAAGGTGTGAGGATCTGATGTAAAACATGGTGACTGTCGATAACAGTGTATAATATAATTGAAATTTTCTAAGAGAGGGACTTAAATGTTCTTGACAAAAAAAAAGATAAATATGTGAAGTAATGATGTGTTAATTAACTAGATGGAAGAAATCCTTTTACAATATATACATATATCAAATCATCACCATATACATTTTGAATACCTAACAATTTTATATGCCAATTATACCTCAAAGTTGAAATAAAAAAGAAAATAATTAAAAAATAAATGGAGGACATAGGCAGTTTACAAAAGAATAAATGTTAATAGCAAACATTTTTGTTTTGAAAGTTCTACCTCACCAGTTATTTGAGAAATTCAAATTAAAACAACAGTGAGGTAGGATTTCTCTGTTGATTGAATTGGCAAAACTTTTTGATTAAATGTTAATACTCCATGTAGGGTGGGGGCTGGTGAAATAAACTTTTATATATGACTGGTGGGAACATAGTCCTTCTGTAAAGAACTTAGAAGTATGCATCAGAATTTTTAACATTGGGGCGCCTGTGTGGCTCAGTTGGTTAAGCATCCAACTCTCGATTTCAGCTCAGGTCATGATCTTAGGGTCTTGAGATCAAGCCCCACATTGGGCTCCATGCTCAGCACAGAGTCTACTTGTCCCTCTCCCTCTGCTTCCCGCCCCCCACAAATAAATAAAATCTTTAAAAAAAAAAAAAAGAACTTTTAACATTGACAATTTCACTTCTAGGAACTTATCCTTAGGAAAAAAGCACAAAGATCATTATTATTATTGTAAAAAATTATTGAACCTAAATGTTTAAAAGTAGGGGGGATTAATGAATTATGATTTATCTACAGGATGCAACACTGCTACAATTAAAAAACTTGTTTTAAAACATAATGTCATGGGGCGCCTGGGTGGCTCAGTCATTAAGCGTCTGCCTTCGGCTCAGGTCATGATCCCAGGGTCCTGGGATCGAGTCCCCCATCGGGCTCCCTGCTCGGCAGGAAGCCCGCTTCTCCCTCTCCCACTCCCCCTGCTTGTGTTCCTGCTCTCGCTATCTCTCTGTCAAATAAATAAATAAAATCTTTAAAAAAAAATAAAACAT